ATGGGATTTGAAATGGGGGAAATAGCTCAAAGTGTAGTGATTTGCACCATTTCAATAGCCAAGTCGTCAAATACAAAATGTAGCCTGAAAAACAGAATACAGCGTAAACTTAAGCAGCACAACCTCAACCTGCTATATGCCAAAGTGAATTGTATTGCATTTAGCAAAACCAATTACAAGTAAATACTACCTTAAAGCCATCCTTAAAGATAAGCTTTTCTAAAAGAAACAAGAAAGCCGCCCTTGCGGACCTCATCTGGAAACAGCCGTTACCTGGCTATTCTGCCTATCTGCTGGTTTCAGTACTTTACTTTGATTTCCAGATCTGAATAACTGCATCAAGTCAAAGTCAGGAATGCTGATCTCCATACTTGTTCTGAACTAGTGACTCATGTAGCTTCAGCAAGAAAACAGACTGCAACAACTAGAATAGATGAGCCTGTATTAAGCCTATGGCATCAATGCCCTTGTCTGCAACATAGAAAAAAAAAAACTCTGCAACATCTGTCCCCTGGAACGTGAAGACAAGGATGTGATTAAGATTTTTTTTTTTTTTTAAGAGGTTCAGATATTTAAAGCGAACATATCTAGAAAAGCTACAAACCCAGTGACATACCAAATAGTGGCCAGCACGCTACAAAATACACTGCTACTTCAGAGACATTTGTATGAACCAAACATTCTAAAACAAGTCTCAATCAAAAGATGTATTAAAGAAAAAATAATATTAGGAGGTCAAAATTATAAATGTTCAATTCTCCCCAGTTTTTCACATTAAAAATCTTATGATCGCATACTGACATGATCATTAAATAAACTCTAAGAACCTGGTAATTACGACTTCATCCTTTGTTGAAATAGCTGCCAAAATGCTGCAAGGTTCTGCGGATGTCACAAACAAGATGGTGGCTCATTGCAGAGTGCAGTCACTACAGTGGTCAAGTACGGGAACAAGGTCCTAAACCAATCACAAGGACGGTGATTGCGCAAACTGTAATAGCTGAGCATAGGAGAACAGAACTTACAGGCACTGCTGCCACCCTCTAACTGTGCTCCTGCACTGCATGTGGAATAGAAAACTTTTAGATCAGCAGGGGTGTGGAAATTTTAGAAAAAACTACTTGTCCAAGGACTAAAGCGGGGGCCGAATCTACTTGTCCCTCATGACAATCTACTTGTCCTGATACGAAAAAAAATAAATTTGAACCAAAACCGTATTTAGCACTTCTCATTGGTCAGTGCCGTCAGGTGACTGCGTTGACCAACGAGTGCTTGCAATTTGCAAGCGAAATTCAGAATACATGGAACAGGCACAGATAGTACACCCGTACTGGTGGACGGGAAGGGCCGTTCGCCGAAAGGTAAGTATAGTGGGAGGGAGATTTGTGCGGGTAATTCAATTTTCCCAAATTACTTGGGAAAGTGAATTTACCCTTTAGGGTTGGTGCAGACTTGCGATCGTGTGCGGTGGCATACAGCGGTTGCATCCGCATGTATGGGGTTACATCTGCGTGGCAATCGCTGAAAAAAGGTAGATGTACCTATTTTCACGACATGCACCGCGCAGTGTTTTCAACCGTGATCATGTGGGATTGCCCAGGCGGTATTGCAGCAGGGAAAACGCGCAATCTGTCTGGCACGACTGGGGTGCCATTAGAAAATAATGGCACTGACAGCACGATCGGCGATTGTGTGCGATTCCGTAACCACCCAGCCATCCGCTCGGTTTCATGCACGATGGCCGGGCAGTCACGGATCGCACACCCCTGCCGATCGTGCTGGCAGTGCCATTATTTTCTAATGACACCCCAGTCATGCCAGGCAGATTGCGCGTTTTACTTGCTGCAATACCGCCCTGCCCGAGCGGTTGCACACGATTGCAGTTGAAAACACTGCGCGTTTAGTCGCATGCAGATGGGGACAGCGGGGCTGGTTTTCATTTTTAAAATTTTCATTTGTTTTATTATTTTTCCTTAATCGCCTTTTTATTTAGTTACATTACTTTTTACTTTATTTTTTTTTAAAACGTAACTGTATTGCTATCACACAGGGAATAATAATCCTGTGTGATAGCATTTGGAGGTGACAGGTACTCTTTATTGACCCTGTCACCTCCAACACAGGAGTTACAGCACAGCACTGTTGCTAGAACTCCTGTGATAGGAACGAGCAGCGGCCGCCGGGTACAGAGGCTGAGGGAGGTGATAGAGCCTGTCACAACTCCACCGTCTGGCTTTGTCACTGCTCCACGCCCTCCGCTCCATCCCCAGTTCTCAGCGCTGCGTCCCCGCCCCCTGGCCGTCCACGCCCCTCGTTCTCAGCGCTCCACGCCCCCCCGCTCATCTAAGGAAAAAAAACCCAGCCCTGCTAAATAGTGGCTAAAATAGTGCAGGGCTAAAAACAACTTGCCCGGAACTACATGTCCCGGGCGTCGGGCGATACGAATTCCACACCCCTGGATCAGGCTTAAATATTTATATGAAACACCTAATTTTTTTAATAGAATTTTTGTACTTGCTTTAACTGCTGAGTTTAGGGTCACTTTAAAAAGGTCCACATGTGAATCCAAGACAGACTGCCCAGGTATTCAATGACTAATATCTCTGAGACTAACCAGAATTTTTGTGAACAGGCCCGGTGTCGGGGCAAGGGCCATGATCAGAGAGTGGTTGAAGCATTCAATAAGGTGACACCCCTCTAAAACAGAAAAAAAATAAAAATAAATATCTGCCAAAAGAATTACAGAGATAAAATGTCAGATTACACTAACCTGCCTTCCTGATGGTTATTCTAATCAGGGCAACACACATTCTTTGACATTTCCAATGGGATCACTCGTTTTCAGCTTCCCAATGAGATTTATTTGGTTAAGATTTTAGTAAGTTTACTTTTTACAGATGTGTTTCTAGCAGTGCCTATCTCTATAGTGTTATTTAGACTGCTGTCCAGATATTTAGAAGATATGACTAACTTGAGCTTCAATGATGGACACATTTGCCACACCATTAATGGATTATTCTACAAGCAGTAAAATAAAACAAAAAGAAAAACAATTCATTAACATGGATAAAGTTTTTTAGTAACTTGACCTGACCTAAAATATTGCTAAGGCAGCAGCAGGATTGAATTTTACCCAATTTAGGATAAAACCCATCACCCTGGCATTCAACTAACACCAAAGACCCTAGGGCTTAATTGAAGTTCTTACATTTGTTAGGTTTTTTTTTTGCATGATATGTGAAATTAAAATTACCTTCTATTATATAAGCAATGAATATAAAAGTGCTTTAGATTTTTTCTTCATCTGTAAACGCTTCAAAAAACGATTTTTACTCTCCCACAACTTCCTGCCAGAGGGTGGCTGCTTTTCTTCTCCATGGTCTCTATGGGTGCTGAAAAGTAGCCAGCCTTTGTGCATGCTCCTGACCAGAACTACAAGACATGGGGACGCATGAAGCACCCTCACATCTTCATTTGTCTGCTCAGGCTTCTCCCTCAACCCCGCCCCCCCATCTAGCCTCTGCCCACTATGAGCTTTAGAAGGCGCGTTATCGTTCATAGGAGCACTGCGCACACTGCATTATGGGACATGTATTCAAGGACAGTGGTGCACATGGACAGACACAGCGTGCACTTCTCGAAGATCACGGTCAGAAGCCTAAAGGGGAATGGAAGAGCCGTGGGAATGCGTAGAACACTTTTAGGCCCCATTCACACCAGGGCGGAAGCGTTTTAGGGCGGTTTCCACGTGATTTTTGCAAGAGCGTTTTTAAATCGTGCTTCAGTGCTGAAGCGCAATTTTAAAAAAACACGCTGATCAGCAGATTTCCATTGAAATCTATATGGAAAACGCGCTGATCAGCGTGACGAAAGTAACTCGGGGAGCATTTTGGGCGGCAGTCAGCTCAGAAGTGCGTAGCCACGCGCTTGCATGAATGGTCCCCATAGAAATGTACGGGATTGTTCTTGTAGGTGGTTCAGCACGGAAAAATCCACACGACCAAACCACCCAGGTTGTATACAGGGCCTTAAAACTGAAAAAGTTTGTAATCTGAAAATATAAATAAAAGCAGTCTTAGGGAACGCGCTATGTGGACATTACTATAACGGGGGGAAAAAAGTGAGAGTTGTGTCAGTAAGTGAAAATTTTAATTATAATATAAAAAGTCTTGCCTAGGATTCTTTAATGATATTCTGTTAGCCTGCCACCTCCATACCAGCATGCAAAAGTAAGATCACCTTGGGCTATTCATTTTCCGAAAAGGGTCATTTTGGTGGTGTTTGGCATTTTTATTTGATATGCCTTATAATCGGAAGGAAAAAAGATGTTTGTCAAAATGGAGTTTTACAATTACTGACCCTCAAAATATGACTGGTCACAATACTCAGCACCTAATACTTCTGCTCATCACAAAACTTGCTAGGCAATACAAAGTGCAAAGTTCACATGTTAAATCACTAATGAAATTCATAATGGAGCTCTACAATAAGAACCACAACGAGCCCACAGAAGGGTAAATCTTTGCTAGGTTACAAGGTCAGCTCTCAAATTGTACTCAGATAAAAATGAACATGAAAGGTTTACTACTGTGATTGCGGTGAGCCAAGATAGAGACACTCCGATTGGTTCCTAAAGAAAAACACTTGACACAAATTTTCGGAGGGGGTGCGGGGGCGACAGAGACCTGACAGCTGCAAGGTTCAGTAGAGTATTTCTTCCCTGGACAAAATCAAGCATTTAACCCATGCAGTGCAGGGTCTAATAACATAATCACAGGTATTGTGAGGGCGCCTGGTGTGCATATGCGTGCTGAAACAATAGATATTTTACAATGCCTCTCAGAATGACAGGTGCCCCCGACCAGCTGTTTCATTACAATGACCGGCTATGAGGCAGTTAAGCAAATAATTCATGGCAAAAAAATGTAACCAAAAACCCACCACAAAAACAACGTAATGCAAAATTTAGCAGAATAGATAAAATACATTTTCAAACTTACAGTCACAGATTTCAAAGTCATGCCGTGGTATGTTCCCATAGTGTCGATTTTGAATCCTTCCGTCTCTAAATTGGAGTTAAACAATTAGCATGGGTATATACAGAAAAAAACAATGTTAAAAGCTCATCTTCTTCATGAGACTTCACGTGCCAATGTACACACACACACAATAATATACACACAAATGAGATGCCAGACAAACATTTGTATTGGATATGATGGGGAAAGTTAAGATAATCCGAGGCTTTAAAATCCCAAAAAGGAGAAGAAATAATCACATTTCAGACTACAGGGAAAGGTTACCCCATTGGAACAAAAAATCCCTTACCTCATATCCCAGTGATAAATGTAAAAGGTAAAATATCCCCTCACTTTTTCGGACAGATCTGAGAAGTGCTCTTTGAGAAAAGGACATTGACGGGCCCAAAAAAAAAAGTTTCCCTGCTGTTCAATCAATTATTGTGACCAACACCACCCCCTTCCCAACTATGCAGAGAGACTGTTTACAGCTCTTTATCATGCCCCAATATAACTGCTCTCTAGTAAATCACAGACAGCAGCTATGAAACTAATTGATTTGCTATGCTTGTGTACAGAAACGTATGCCTGGATACAATGACTGAGGTCACGCAATAGAAAAAACAAAACTGCAGCCAAACAGTAAAAGGAAGGCTAATGTAATTGTATCTGCGAGAACTTTACTATACACAAGCAGTGCAAATCAAACTTATGAATAGAGTATAGAACTTATAAGTATATAGAGTACAGAGTATATAGATATAGAATAAATGCACTTCTTAAATAAGGAGGAAAATATCGCCACTTTAGTAGAGCACTGGTCAAGTCAAATATTTATTCTGGAGGAATGCAAGCTGCTGACATTGAATTATTAGAAGTTCAGATTCAGTGTAAATAGGAGCTCGCCAATTAAACAAGACTAATCAAAGTGCAACTGAAGGCAAAACTTTTTTTAATATTAAATAGAGTGGAGTGGAGAGGGATTGGAACACCATCAGGTTTTTACTGCCGTTTGTGTTGCCATTAGGGAGATACACCCTCTCGGTTTGTCAACCCAGATTTTAGGTTGTCAACGGAACAGGAAGATGGGAAATCTTCCAGCAGTGTCACCGTTTCATCAAATTTCAATTTAGAAAAAAAAAAAAAAACACAGAAATCATACACAGCAATCTACCAAATCACAGTTTTAATAAGCTCCTCATTCCCACCAAACAGATGAATGTAAAGTACACCAAATCAACCCAAACCACCACAAGTTGCAAAGCATGTTCAATCAAATTCTACCCCTATTTGGATAGGTCACTCCAAAGCTGTGGGTGACAGATCGGGGGTGTTCATTTCAATGCAACCATGCCCCCAAATCCAATTACCATACTATTGTATGACCAAGAAAATATTTTTTTCAAGTCAGAACTTGCAGAACGTACCTTCTTTTCCTTTGAACCGTTCCTGATCGTACCTATTGTATATTTGTGGAGCCGGTTGTTTAGTTCTCAATGTGGGGTCCTGTAATATAAGCAAACAGACATGAATGTTCAGAACAAAAATCTCTGCAAATGATCACAAAAATATATTGGCTCTGAGGAGGAATCGGTTTCCATATGCTAAATAATAGACATCTTTAGCTGCATTCCGCAGAGAAAACTTCTACCACAAGGAGAGTATGACAAAGGATGACCTATACAATTAGAAACAAAAAGGTTTATTCTGCACAACTTACAGTGGGTGCTGTAGTCTGAACAGGTCTTTGCTCAGGTGCACGCCCCTCCTCTCTTGCTTTCACATTCTGAAGAATTGCAAATATATTTTTGGCAAAATTCTGAGAAAGGAAAAAAGGAAAAAGCTTTCAGAACAATTAGAGCAGATCAGTTAAAAGTGTGTCAAACATTTTCGATGGAATAGGGCATGTTAAAACCAGTCAGGTTTGTTTTTGCGGTCTATGCCCAACTTGGTACTTGAAAGAGGTGGAATAAGAGTGCTGAAACTGCATTGGTTTGTCCTATCGGTGGCTGACCAATTAGGATGTAAAAGAGTTGGTTTGGTATCTGACTACTGGGCAGGCAGTCTTACAGCCAGCCAGATGCAAGGTTCATGTGAATATAACTTCTTAAATTTTCATCCCTAGATTTCATCCCAAGCATTTAAGCCTTGCAGTGCATGGGTAGCCCACCTGCAAGGGGTCTGAATAATTATACCTAGAATTATTCTTTAAACCAAGCTGCAGCCTGTGAAGAAAAAAAAAACTAAAAAAGTAAACTCAGTCAGGGATAGGCAACCTCAGCGCTCCAGCTGCTGTGGAACTACAAGTCCCACTAATCATTGCAAAACTGAAAGTCATAGGCATGGGATTTGTTTTAGCATAACTGGAGTGCCAAGGTTGCCTACCCCTACTCTAGGGGACCTTCCTGTTCCAGACCAGCACTGTAGCGGTTAACTAACTGGTGTGGTCAAGTCAGTAAATTACTTTCCATGACCGAATAAACTAGAAAAGGAAAAGTGTGGCCATGGTTGTGGACCAGTCATCCTAGTTTTTGAGGAGACAACTCCAATAGCTCAACATATGATCCGCAGGTCATGAAGGAGCAAAGCAGACACCACAACATAAAGCTGGTGGGGAGACCCCACAGCACAGGTGGTGAGTAGTGACATTTTCTAGCCCAAAACAGACCACATTTAATATTCAATGGTGTCAGCTTTAGAAGAGACTTCATAGGGTCAGCCAGCAAAATATCTTGAAGATGGCAACCCCCCAGGATTGATGTTAGTGGCTGGGTAGGATATCCTGGTCACCAGAAATTTTAACAGACCAATAGCCCACTACATTGATAACTTAGAACTACTACCTCATTTCTTTAAAGAAATTTGAAAAATAAATTAACTGTGAAAAGTGTAGTTGCATTTTCGGGAAAGTGTTGTGATAAAAACGCATATATTTACAAGTTTATAAAAGATGCAATTTGATTTAACAGAATGGGTCACCATCTCCATCACTAGCCTTAACACGCACTAATGTAATGTCTGTGAAATGTAATAATTGCTACAGTTACACGCAATCACTGGAATAAAAAAATATAAAAGATTGCAAGCGTTCAGTACTCTTCAGAATTTTGCTTGGACAGTTCGATGGGAATCAAGCTTCAAACCATTTTTTCGAACCATTAAAAGAGTCAAGTAGTTGTGCTCTATTGTCAATAAAATTTATGTTAACTTCACTGACTTACCTACTGGTGTAAGAGGGCCTGAATTCTAGAAGCTGTGCCCTAGAAAGTCCCACACTACGTGTGGAAACAACAATCTTGATAAAGCCATTTGCTTCTGCTTCCTTATACCAGAGCTGCCCCCTGAAGACTTGTGATCTGATAACTGGGTGGGGGAATATTCAAGTAGCACAAATCCCTAATCCACAGAATAAATGAAGCGGAGAGAGAGATCTCTAATACTGCAGTTTTGCAGGAAGGGCAAGAGTAGCACAGTAGATCGACAATTCTCATGAACCTTGTATTCAGATGCACAGAGCCCTAGCTGACCTGACACTGCTGTAATATAGTTATGAGGCTCAAGGAACCAGAATGCCTAGGCACAGGATGTTCACTACTATTTTTTTTTTTATGAGGAATTTCGGGCAAAAGGATATTTAAAAAGGTACTGTGAAGGCACAATTAACATTACTAGATGTTATCTATAAGATAGCTAATCTTCATTTTTGTAAAGCCACTATATAGCCGATTCTCTTAACTTTATATGGCACTCATAACTAACAAAATGGTTGACATATTTGCAGATATGTTTTTTCTGAAAATGTAAAACGTTTATGGCAAGTACATTCCTGATATGCTGGCTAATTAGGCATGTAATAGGTTACGGAATGTACGTGGCAGTTAAACCCACTTTTCCTGTACTCTGTAAAATGGTTGTTCTTGTTCTCCATACTCTTTCCCTGCTGACAATGTCCCTTGTAACATCCACTTCGGCATCTACAAAACTTCTCTGTTTTAATGCTGTAATGTCATCATCCAAATCAGTTTTGATTGTCGTTTTTCTTTTTGCCATAATTTTGGCTTTGATGGCTGCAATTTTTTCAACTGACATGGCTTCTGAAAGAGACCTAAAAGCACAAGAAATAAAAAAGGTTGCAATTTACTAAGTCTTTAAGACACCACACAAATGACATTTAAAAAGTGACACTAAACTCAGGAGTTAAATCTTAAAAATGTATTCAAGTACCTTATTTACAAAAATGTATCTTATCTGTGCATCGTTTAGCTGTAAATCCTCAAATACTGAATTGGTGCCGACACTGTCCTTCCTTCTGGGTACTTTTGTTCCCCATGGTCCCTGTGTGCGTTGTAAAGTAGCCATTACTCCAAGCTCGCTCCCGCGATGGAGTACAATGTCAATACAAATTAGTAAACTAAACATGAGATAGTAGTCCATCACGCATTGGGTGATGGCTACTTTACAACATACAGGGACCATGGGGAACAAACTAGCCACCTTCCAAAAGGACAGTGTCAGCACCAATTCAGAGACCATTTGAGAATCTCCAGCTTAGGTAAGCAATAATAAGCTACATCTTTGTTAATGGGGTACTTCATTGCATTTTTAAGATATAACTGCTGAGTTTAAAGCGATACTAAACTGAAGCTCAATTTGCTTATATTTTGCCTTTTCTGTTTCAGAGAAAAACTGGATTACAATTAAGGAAAAGTACAAAGCTGAAACTAAGAACATAAGAGTAGAATAGGAACTAGCATCAGAGAAAACGGAAGAAAAAAAAATATGAAAGTGACCAGCATTAATGATAGCAGCATTAACAACCCTTCACTAAAACCATCTAATGCAAAGCAGATTTTCTCTTATGTGGGTCAAGCTACTTCTGGCACTAGTGCTCGATCACACTGACAGATTCACTTAGTGGGTGATAGATTCACCAGTAATCAAATACCAGTAAAGGTTTGTTCACACCAGCAGCTGCACTCAATCGAGCCACATCCCTTTTCTTTTTTAGAACTTGATTGAAATATCACAAGTGACATTTCATCAAGTGCTATGGGCACAACGCGGTGCAATGCGGTTATACCCCGTCTCACTGCATTGCATGGTGGTGTGAACTGTGGCCACCCGTGTCAAGGCAAATTGCCTGGTTCTGCGTTCGGGCTACACTGGAAAGAATAGCATATTGTGTGAACGGGCCCAAAATGCCAGATAATTGTTCTGAAATGATGGTTAACGCAAATCAAAGTTGGGAGAAAAATCACACAAAAGGTCACCAGACCTGTTAACCACAATGAGCAGTGAGCAATAAAATGTGAGTAAGTCAACTCTGCTATTGGGAACATAGTTTTACACTATTTGCTACAGCACTTGATAAAGATTCTGAGAGCAACATTGTAATATATTAGTTTAGTTAAGCTGAAAAGATATTATATTTTAACCTTGATACCTCACTCATGAAGCTTTTTAAAATAGTGCCTCAGCACCTTGGCTAGAGAAAGAAAATCAAAACCAATTAAAGGATGTGGGAAGCACCAAAACCTGTAGCAGCTGTGCAAACATCAGTCCCCAGACTGTGGGAACATGTACACAGAGAAATGATTTAAGCAGCAAAGAATTGGCAAGCTTATGAATTAGCAAGTAACCCAGGCTGAAAAAGGCAGTATTACACAGGGAGAAGACAGAAAACAGGACAGTAATTTTTATGTGACATAATTACAAAGGATACAACTACCGTAAGTTAGTACGAATAAAAGTAGGGCTGGTAATGATTAAAATGTTCCTGTTCGATTAATCGATTTAAAAAAAATTTTCACCGGCCCAAGTGATTCCGTTCAGGTAACGAAGGGAAGGGGGAGGAGTACGGTGACGTCACGGACATAGACGTCACCGGACTCCTTCCTCCTTCCCTTTGTTACCCATCACGGACAACATCACCGGACTCCTCCCCCCTTCCCTTCGTTAGCCGACAGAGCCACTCGGGGAAGGGGGGAGAAGTCCCTGACGTCACCGGATCTCCGACGGAAGACCCGGAAGGTGGCAGAGAGGTGAGTTCCGATCAAAATAATTTTGATCGATCAAAAAAAATAACGATCATTAACTTCCGCAGCCCTAGAATAAAAGTAAGAATAAAGCCTGCTCACTTTGCAAAGTGAACAATCTATATTCCTCTAGTAAAAGAATCAGAATGTTACAAATAAGAGAAGAGAAAGATGAAAGGTGATGCTTCCAAAGAACAAGTTCAAAAAGCCTATAAAATGTTAGCTCAAACTAACGCAACTAGTTGCAGAAGTAATCAATAGATTGGAAATGAGTGGGGAAACCCAATAAAAAAATATATATATAAAATGACAGCAGGAATCTTCCAGGACAGCCTATGAGAGATGGCTCAGATAGCCTGAAATAGAAAAAAAAAAAAA